AAACTATAAGTGCCGTTGAAGATGAGGCACATTGAACACATTGTTTTCGTTACTTTAAATTAACAATGCTTATCGTTTCTCTGAATACCAGAGCATGATATATTTTTTTTCAAAATCGAATTTCGGAAATATATGCGAGAGAAATCTTTTCACTACACTTGGAATATATTACGTTAAACGATGCATTCATCTAGTCGATAGAGATTGGAAAAAGGTAAATATACGTTTCATTGTAATATATTTGTTTTTCTAAAATTAATAGGTAATATTAGTTTATTTTGTTGAAGTTCCACCAATAGGCCACTTAAGCAAACTTATGTACTGTGTATAATATTCGAATATCTATAGTTTTGCAGGAACATGATCTATTTGAAAAACTCATTTCTTTCATTCAGCAGGATCATTCAAAGCTAGGAAGAAAAAAAAAGCGTAGTGCAATAAATTCACAGCGAAAACCGTACATCTGAAACTACGAAACAACGCATATAGTCAAGGGGGAAAAAGCGGATCCTGGTGGAACCTAGGATCCATCAGGATCTATCAGCATTCATTAGGATCCATTAGGATTCATTAGGATCCACAAGGGTTCACCAGGATCTATTAGGATCCACCAGGATCTATTAGGATCCGTTAGGATCCACCAGGATCCAGTAAGATCTATTTCTTGGAAATTTTGAGTAAGCTGCTAAATAATCTATTTCTTGTGGCAAATCGTCCAGAAATGTAAGTCTACTATTATTAATAACATTTTATTGAAATATATATATAATGAAAGAAAAAAATGAAACCGAATTCCAAACTCATTATTTCTGTTTCCTTGTCTGTTGTACTCGTGATAATCTGTCCGACGATAAACAGTTTTTACTAGTAGTCAACAGACGTGCTGCCGTTTGTTTATGTAAATATTTTGGTTTATTATTAATCATAATATGAAAATAATTGTTCTTTTTCGTTGGATCAATTTCATCGAATATTTTCATTCCTTGGAAGGTTTCTTTTGACGTTGTAAAATGATAACTATCCGGATTATCGTCATCTGAATCTAAACCTTCAACTTCGACGTTTGTTTCAAAATTTTCTGTATCGTTTTGAATATTATTATTGCTATCATCTGCACTATCCTGAAGATCAACTTCGTTGAAGTAACAATAGTCAATTGAGGATTTTAAATGAAGCTGTTGAAAAACAAACGAATTTAATTTTTTAATATCATCAAGATCATTTTCTTTTAGTATTTGTAATAACTCTAAAGTGTTCATGATTTTTTCTGCTTCATGATAAGCTTTAATGATAATTTTTTCTATATCATTTATTGTTGTTGATGATGAACTTAAATTAATTGTAGATGCTGTTCTCTCTTCACGTTGATTCTTGTGGTGAATTGGAAATTTTAATGGACATTCGACATTATTTCCTTCTGTGGATTTAAAATGATTAAGTATTGAAATTTTTTCAATTTTATTTAAAAATTGAGATACTGGAAAATTTGTTATTTATGAAAAAGTACCAGAAAGAGCACGAGCACTACGGAATGTAGTCTCGCATGGTTGACTGCTAAAGAGATGCGTATTAAGAGTAGAAGATGGCAAAAGTCCTTGTAATACTAAAATAATTATTGATGTTAAACAATGTATATTAATTTCTATAGATAACCATGCAGCCCTAGTAATAAAACGATTATCCTTTTCTTGTCGAGAATAAGTTTTTTCTAGTTGATTACTAGACCTAGAAACCAATAGTAAAATATTTCAAAAAAATAAAAATTCTTTTTCTTTTACCACCACATCCGATATGAAAATGTAAGAACCCAACCGTAGTATAAACGTACGAAGATATCAGTATCTGCTTTAATAAATGTAATAATAACTAATTTCAACAAATATAAGTAGATATAAGTGCCTTTAGCATTCATTTTTTTTAACAAATTCAACACGTCATCTGACGTGATTTTTAAGCAAGAAGAGAAATTTTGTCGATCATCGGGAAAAACATCCGATCTTACTAAATTATGGTCGATTTTAGAATAGTTTTCAATTATAAAAAATAAATCATTGATATGAATCTGATAATTATTGATAGATAATGTTGCAATAGTCGATAAAAGTCGATTTCTGATCTTTGTTGCAAGATGGATTCCATCTTGCATGCAAAGATACATTTGCTTTGTTCTCATGAAAAAAAAATTCCATGCTGAAGGAATATTAATTTGAAGTAAATTTTTATTTTCATTTATTAAATCAATGTTTGGTGTGTGTGTAAAAAACCCTAAAGATATTTGCATTGCTTTAAGATAGCGTGCGTCACAATCACTTGAAAAACCAAAAAACAACAACATTTTTTCTTTTGCATTCATGATATATATAAAGCCATTTTCGAAGAACATCAATGCCTATATATTTTTATACATATTAATTTAATTCATTTACGAAATAAATTCAAACCGGAATATTTATTGTCTGTTCCATAGGCGGAAATGATATACGATCTCGAGTGAGTTGAAGAAGAACTTTTATTTAATAATGGTTCAACTAAATTTGCATTTATTAATTTAGATTTTCCAATATCCTGAAACCATTGTTGTAATTCATTAAAATCATGTGTTTGAAATTGATTTACCAAAGGTAATCCGTTTACTAATTTTGGTGAAAAACCAACAAATGAATTAGTTTTACTGTCATAAGAAACTGAACCAACAACACTAGTTGAATCCTCACACTACAAAAACAATACATAATTAAATTTTATATTTTTATTAGTAGAAGAAATAAATTTTAGTCGATTCTGATCTATTATAGTGAATATTAATTAATCTTAAAATTAATGAAACAAAATACACCAATATTTACTGGAATTTTCTGAAGTCTAACGAAATCCGATGAATCGTTTTCTATTTTGGCATCTACTTCATGAATGATTTTTCTTCTCTTAAGTACATTCTCATATGCTAAAAATTTCTAATAAATTCATCGAGATTTAAACAAAATAATCTCACATTGTCTTTCTCTCAAATGGCATATGATCCCAAAATACGTACCACAAAAACATGATTTGAATCAACCAAATCTAAATATTTTTTTAAAGAATCAAATCTGAATTCCCCTTCATTTAAATGTAAGTTGATATTCTGATTATAATTTTTTAATGTAGTAATAGATGGTAAAGAACCTGGTAAGTTTATTCTGACAAATTCATAAGCTTGATGACCAGCTAATATACTAAAAGCTGATGCAAATTTGTTCACAGTAGGATCAAATTGATAATTGTTACTGGATCGATTAATGTTTTTCATGAGATTATTAACAAAAACATGGACAAATGATTTTAATTGATATTCTGTATTTCCATTATTAATATCTACTAAACCACACATACAATTATTTACTCCTTTGATTTGATTAGGTGCTGCTGCAGCATTATAATGATTTTTTAATAATTCAATAAATTGTTCAATATTAGATCGAATCCCTGGTCGTACAATATAACTTGAATCATCAGCAATAAAGCAAGCTCGTTCTTTTAAATTTTATATATCTTTATTATTTATTTGAAAAAATGAAAATACATCTGGTATTTGTAATAAGATTCGAACATTTTTTATTCTTTGTATTTCAAGGATGTCGCCTTCAATAACACCAACAAAGTTTTTCACGAAATTATAAAAAGCTTCACCACTATAGGATGGAAGTTCATCAAGGAATGGTAATAAATCTTGTTCCCAACTAGTCATAACAGCAAGATAAAGAAAAAAATATCTGCAAGAGTTTTATTATTTACAAGATCAATTAGTTCCTAATTAAATTGTCGGAGATGAACAATTATTTCAACAAATTCAATGTCAACTTTATTTAAAACAGTTTAATTTTCAAAAAAAAACCTACAATCTAAGCTAATGTACATTCATCATTTAAAATAAGTCTTTAAATTCAACTAAACTTTATAAAAAAAATATGTATGAAATGTGTACAAAAAATTCGAAATTAAATTTAGTTTATGGCCTAAAATATTTTTGTTTTTTTCGTACTATCTAATAACAACGACGTTGATCTTTTTTTCTTTAAAGAATCAGAATCGATGAATACTGACTTATTGGTCGTAATTTGTGAGTTTTCATTTAAAGTATTCATATTTTCTTCATAAAAATTAATTTCATCTTCAATACTAGATAAAGTATTATTATGATTAATATCGTATGATAAATTATTATTTTTCGTCAATTCTTGTCTTCTTTTTTTCATCATAGAACAACGACTATGCTTCAAATGTTTGAAATACTGTGAAAGTTGAAATGATTGGGTATGAAAACGAAATGCAAGTTTCATTGTTGATTTACAACCACATTTGATATGTACATCAATACGTGTATCTGATTGATTTAAATGTATCATGTAATCATCATCATGTTTTAAAATAATGTTTCGAAAAGTATTGATTGAGTATTTTTCAATACTATTAACAATTACTTGTATATGATCATTTATTGACATCACATTAGTTGCTGTTGTAGGTGTTGATATTAGAGACGAATCGGTAATATTTGAATCGGTTGTATTTAACGAAGATGTATTCGAAATAGAAGAGTTTGTGGTAGAAGAAGATGATGAAAATTTTGACTTTTTCGTTTTTTTTATATACTTGCAGTTCTTCTCTTTAAGGACTGCTATCAAGTCATCAAAACCCATTTTAACACCTGTTTTAATAATTATATTATTATTATCCTCATCGATGAAGCATAAACGATCTTTGAGATCAGCAAGTTCTTTACATTTAATACTAAGAACAGAAAAAATATCTGGTACTTTTATTAATGTTCTATTATTTTTTATTGATTGTATTTTCAATAAATTCATTTCATCAAGACCTAAGCAGCTTTCAATAAATTGATCAAATTTATCGTTTGAATAAAAAAGAACTTCATCAGGTAAATTATTTAAATTCATAACGATTATGTATGTTGCCTTCTATTAAAAAAAGAGAAGAAATTTATTCGACAGAAATCGAATAATTTTAAATGAAACAATACTTGTTTTTTTTATTGTCGTTACTCTTGATTTTTTATGGAACAACAAGAAGATTAACACAAAAGCTACATCAACTATTATGAAAATACTCCGGAGTAAAATGTTAGTGTATTGTAACAACTATCAAAATAGATTGATAAAATAATCCGAAATGCTTTATTAACTATTCCATCTTTTTCCACATTTTTGTTAGAAAGACATTGATTTGATGTATTATATGTAATTTGTTATACGACCTAAATTTCAAAATTTTTATTCCATAACTATAACCTTTGTAACAGCACTATGTGCGATATCAATAATCATGCAGATTTTCCTTTTGAAGGAGACAATGATAAAAAAATCAACAATAAGATTTGTTAAAAAAACAGTTTTTAACTGGATACATTCTAAGAAGACGTCTGGACGAGACTAACGATTTATATTGGATGTTAACATCGACTTACTAGTATGTGTCAACACTCATCAGGATCCAGTAGGATCCATCAGGATCCAGTAGGATCCAGCAGGACCCATTAGGATCCCCCAGAACCCATCAGGATCCACCAGAATCCGTCAGGATCCATTAGGCTCCACCAAGACCCATCAGAATCCGTCAGGCTCCATCAGGATCCATTAGGATCCATCAGGATTCATCAGGATCCACAAGGATCTATTAGGATCCATCAGGATTCATCAGGATCCACAAGGATCTATTAGGATCCATCAGGATCTCCAGGATCCTTGGATTCAGAATCCGCTTTTTCCCCCTTGCATATAGTTCTCTGTCATAAAACACGAAAAATTAGAAATAAACAATAGTTAATAACAATGAAGTGACAAGATACTATAAAGCAATCTATTACTGCAGTGTGAAAATAACTACAATATAGTAGTACGTCACAGTACAATTGTACAGGACGGTGTGCACTTATGTACATCCATAGATTGACAATGCATCATATATCTTAATGTGTTTATTAAAGAGTAACAAACTACAAAATATATTACTGTGTTACAACAATGTAATAAATAGTGCTATAGAGTCTCAATCTTGTATAGACGGACAAAAAAAGGGTTTATTTTAGTGAATCACTACACAATAACTGCACATCTTTACGATCCTATTCACATAATATACAGAAAAAAAGTTTTATGAACTAAACCCTCGATATCCACGTTTGGAGTGTGGGTGTGGGTGTTTTAAGAGACTGTCCACACCCACGCTCACCACTACCAACACTCACATCCCACACCTGCCCACACCATCCCCACCCACACCCTGACTCCATGGATATAGTCGCAATTTCATAACAGTGCATCCGGTTTTGCTTGAAAAGTAATATAAATGAAAGATATCGTTACATCAACGCCTTGATTTTAGTTCATTTTGTGGCGATTATATTTGATCGGAAGACTTTAACATTGTGAGTAGTCTCTAATAATGATATCTACTTCATATGTTAGAAATATGAGCTTCTAAAAATGAGTTTCATCTTTAATGCATCATTGGATTTTTCATTGGACATTGATTTGATGCCTCGTGAAAAATCGGTTGTAGACTATTGACTCACCAATGATCAACTCAACCATTAACTTATCTATCTATTTTTATTCATTTGAATCATTTGTTTCGTTCATCACCAATTCATCAACATTACTACCTAAAGATGAACGTGTCGACAGCATGCTTAAATACCTCAATTCATGCACAAATGAATTATGAAGAAGGTCACTCTTTTATTGTTTACTCTATTTTAAAATACTTTTTATTTAACTAAAGAATTAGAAATATTCAATCGACGATTAAGTAATCATATTCAGATTAAACAAAATTACGATGTATCTCAAAAATGATGTGCAATTTTTTGCTTTCCCTATTCAACCATTTTGTAAGCAAGGCCTTGATAAGATCCAGGGCTGGGCGAGTCAAGCCTTTTCTCGAGTCGAGTCGCGTCCGAGTCATGTAAAAAAGATTTCGAGTCGAGTCAGATAATTTTTGGGTCTGCCATTCTTCTCTGTTTATTTTTACTAAGAAGATTCATAAGAAACCTTCATC